TGCTTTGCAAATTTAACATGGCATACCGCATTGACAGGAAGCACCGTCTATCAAAATAGGCTATGTAAGTCAAAGTGGCTATGCGGCAACTTTGAACCAAATATATGGCTCACAATTGTGGTACAAACAAAAGAAACAAAAATATCAGGCATTTAGGAGGCAGAAGGATTGCCTCCTGAAAGTTTGACAGTGGCTGCTTAGCCACACTTTGAAAAGCAACCCTCATTTGAATATCAGCCGGTTCTGCAGGGTTTGGCTGAGATTCGAACCATCTATGGACAGACTGATTGTACCCAAATCAATTGTTTTATGACTTGGGTACAACCAGCCTATCAGCTTTTTATGCGATTTTTGCCAACAGCTATAGCCACTAGCAATAATCACTGTGTTCTACCAGCAGGGATGGCTCTCCATGGTTGCAGGAAAAAAAATGGCATCATCTGTGGCCGGCTTTAGCGTTGCTCAGCTATAGTAAAGAAAAATCAGATGTGACCAGCCAGACAGTGCTGAGCTGTGTACCAGAGTTTTCTAAAAACTATACATTTTTTGAGTCTATATCTGTTTAGCTGGAGTCCATCTTTTAATAGTACATTCCAAACTTCTGTTCTTCGATTCAGCCAACCAAAACCCACTGCTGCCATTATTCTGCCAATACTGGGATGACATGCAAGATTTAATAAACCCTGGAATTCCACTAGATCAAAGTTGTGTGCCCTGTTAGGCAAAAAAAAAAAGAATTTGTTAAGCCTCCTTTAGTCATCAGAGATAAAACGACTTTTTAGGAATAGGAAAGAGGGTCTATGTTTGAAGGTTGTACCGAAAGTCATGGAAAAGTGGGAATAATATTTTTATTAACTTAGATGGGTCCTTCAAATTTTACATGTTGGTAGAGTAACTCTTCATCTATAGTAATTCTTTCTTTTTTTCATTGCAGGTAAGTAATGGTTTCCAAGCAGAAGAAATGTGCTGTCATTGAGTTCTTGATGAAGGACGGGTACAGGCTGTCCAACATTGATGGTCTCTCAGTGCTGGTTTGCCCTTCTTTAAATGTCTTCATCCATCTGTGCACATTTACCCTTGTCAATGGTGTCATCTAGGTAAACATTTTGTAGCCTTCTGTGGATGTCACACAGCCTGCACCCCTCCATCAAGAACTCATTGATGGCATTTTGCTTCTGCTTGGAATCCATTACTTACCTGCAGTGAAAAAGAAGAATGCCCACATTTGCATTACTTTCAGTACGGAACTTGTATAAAACATATGTTGTTTGGAAGTGACAAGCGTCCACACAATCACTACAAAAATTGGCACACTTCCTCTATTATGCACAGTTCCTACGTCATCAGAAACCATCTATTATTTATTTATTTCAGGTACTTTATATAGCGCCGTCAATTTACGCAGCGCTTTACACATACCGTATATATTGAACATTCACATCAGTCCCTAACCCTCAAGGGGAGTACAGTCTAAGGTCCCTAACTTACATTCATACATATACATACTAGGGACAATTTTTGACAGGAGCCAAATTAACCTACCAGCATGTCTTTGGAGTGTGGAAGGAAACCAGAGCACCTGGAGAAAACCCACGCAAGCACAGGGGAGAACATGCAAACTCCATGCAGGAGGCACCCTGGTCAGGAATCAAGCCCGTGACCCATTTACTGCAAGGCAGACGTGCTAACCACTAAGCCACTATACAGGATTTATATAGTGTCAACACTTTACAATGTAAAGGGTGACAATACAGCAACAATATAGTTCAATACACGAGGGTTAGGAGGGCCCTGCTCCTGGGAGATTTCACAATTCATTTTTGTTACCTGACTGAGGTATTTTTAGGGAAATAAAGCATTATGGCCAGTAGGTGGCACCGATGATATAGAAACTACACATATTGAAGAAAATGCAGCAATTGCCCTGATTGTGGGGATGTTTTGTCCTATCTGCACAGTGAACATTTTATACATAGACCCCCAAGGGTCTGTTCACACTGGTGCATTGTAAAACACAATATGCACTTTTTGAAAATGTATATCGATTTTTTTTTCTGGTAAATTGAAGGCAATGCATATGTGTTTTACATGAATTTTGCATGTTTTTTTTCATCTCTGGTCAACTGACATGTGGCTCAAAAAGTGGCCCGTGTGTTTCCATTGACTATAATAGAAGGTTTTTCAAACAGGGCACCTAAGATGCAACAAGCAGGACTTTTTAAAAATGCAGCACACTTTAAAAAAATGCAGGGGAGAGATGTGAACAGATAGAATTTAAAGAGAAATATTTTTTGTGCTCTTTTGTCATATGGGAAAGGTGCATTTTAGCATAGTAAAAGCGCACCAGTGTGAACAAGGCCTTAGTGTCATCATATTTATTTTTAATTTCTCTTTAAACACCTATACATGTAATTTGTAGGCAGCAAAAAAAGAAACTAGATTTTTATTTCTGAGATACGTCTCTGAGATACTATGTAGGTACTTTTATCCTTTTAATGAGACTTTGTTTATCTATATTGACAGGTTCTCTGTCATCAGGACCACCAATTTTACCAATACTAAATGCTTATGACGTTTCTGCATGATGCATTTTCTAGAAATAGGTATGAGTTCCCAGAAGAGGTTTCTTAATGCCAGGACACCCTGCAGTTAAAGTCTTCCAAGGTAAAGTTCAGAGTTCTTTCTGGAGACTATAAATAATCCAGAGCCATTTCTAAATATTCTTGCTGAAACCCTAAGTTTTCTTATGTGATTTGTAAATGTGTAAATTAAAGCTGACACGTTGTAGTTGCAAATTACAACCTTTGCTTACAAATTAATTTCCAGACTGACTGCTCTGTCATTAAGATGAGTAGAATAAAAACTTCAATAAAACTGGAATTAAATACCATTTTTATCCTGTTATTACGTTCAAGGTTATATACTACAGTTGTGCTCAAATGTTTGCATACCCTTGGAGAATTGGTAATATAGAGTAAGTACCATTTTTAAAGAAGAAATAAGTGAGCAGGCAAAACACATTTCTTTTATTTCTTATGGGATTCATATTCAACTATAGGTCATAACAGAATGACGTAATCATAAAACAAAACATGGCAACAAGTAAAGAAATGAAATGCCCCCTGTTCAATAGTATGCCTCAACTTAGTTCTTAAAACAGTGTATTGCCCCCTTTCGCATCAGAGACAGCATGAAGACTTTTGTAATAGTTGTCTATGAAGCCCCAAATTCTTGCAGTTGTTATAACTGCCCATTCGTCTTGGCAAAATTCTCCCAGGCCATGCAAAGTCTTTGGTTGTCTTGCATGAACCCCACGTTTGAGATCTTCTCAGAGTGGCTTGATGATATTAAGCTCAGGAGACTGATGGCCACGCCAGAATCTTCACCTTTTTCTGCTGTAACCACTGGAGGGTCAACTTGGCCTTGTGATTAGGGTCATTGTCGTGCTGGAAAGTCCAAGAGCTGCCCAGCTTTTGTGCAGAAGAATGAAAATGTTCTGCCGATTGTTTCTGATAACATGCTACATTCATCTTGCTATCAATGTTCATAAGATTCCATGTGCCTTTAGAGTTCACACATCCCAAAAACATTTTAGCCATCACCGTACTTCACTGTGGGGATAGTATTCTTGTTGCTATAGCCCTTGTTGACCCCTTTCCAAACGTAGTGGTTATAGTTGTGACCATAAAGCTCTCTTTTGGTCTCATCACTCCAGATTACAGTGGGCCAAACAAGGCCAAACATTCCAGGGTATGTAAACTGATGGCCATTTGGGTGATTTTTGTTATCATTATGATTTAAAAAGGAGCCAAACAACTATGTGATCATACATGGCATAAATGATCACCATCCTTAAATAAAAGAGTTTTTTTGGCATGATCAGTCATATTTTCATTATCAATGCCAAAATTTAATGATTTCTGCCTCGGAATGCAAACTTTTGAGCACAACTGTATGTGGAGTCAAACTGATGCCTAATGCTAATTTTGTTGCTTAGTTTTGGTGAAATATGACATTCCAAATACCTCCTCCCTCAAACAGAGGGGTTGGAAAATCAAATCCTTTACTACGGGATACAGTGAATGGGCAATTGGGTAAAAAATAGATCTTCCAAGGAGTTGAGTATTCCTACAGCAGTGCCTGGGGTCATCTCCAGAGATTGTTTGGTATCAGCATAGACTGTTAGAAGTGTTCGAAGTGACACAAGCAGATGGCAGAGGAAGGAGAGAGGTTTGCAGGCACTTCAAACAAAAACCTATGATAAATACAGACAAGCTTATTGAAGTATGACTATCAGTTTAACTTAATTATATTTTGTAATTACGTTTCAGATTTTATCAGTTTCACAAGTCAGTTTTCTGATATGCCTCACACTTCCATGTGCTCCTTGCTGCAAAGGCCAGTTATAGGTTGGGGTGGTTGCCATTTGTTTGTATTACTGATGAATTTGTGAGGAGATGCACTGGATACCTTTGCTGCCATTGTCTACTGCTGGATGTCCAGTGCTTCCTATACCTTTAACCTCCCTAGTGCTATGATTATTTCAGATTTTTGGTGCTGAAAGCGGGTACCATTATTTTGCATGGAAATATGTCGTTTTTTTTATTGTAGGCTGTAATATTTAGGAATAACTCACTGAAATCTGTCCGAACAAGAGTCTATTAAACATCCCGGGTATGATAAAATTTGAAACACAAAATCATAAATTATAATTTAATAAATATCATAAAAAATAATAATATAATAATAATACATTTAGTTCAATAATATAATCAAACCAAAAACACTGAAATTTGAAATATAGCGCCAAGTTCGCACATCACTGAGCAAAGTCGCAAAATTGTTTTCAGTGTCTGATGACAAATTTCTCCACAAATCATTATCACTCAATTCTGCAAGTGATTCTAATTTACTATCGCTGTTCTCTAGCTGATCTAAACCCACTTTTGACCTAAAGGGACGCTTTATGGACGCCATGGACTTTTCTAATTTTCCAGGCAGAAAGAACAGTCAAAATGCAGACAGGGGACAGGACAAAGCACTAGGGACAAAATGTATGTGAAATGGTTTGAAACAGCAATGTTTTACTATGTAAAATTAGTTTTGAAAAAAATGACTTTAAATTTTCAAATTTCCCGCCGCTTCCGGCGCCCGTACGTCCCGACGTCACAGGGACCGGAACACTGAAGCCGGATGCCGGCATCGGCCGGAGGAGATGGCCAGGGACGCTGCAGGGGACACATTGCGGGAGCGAAGGACAAGGTAAGCTCTGCAGGGACTCCCTGAGCAACGCCGCATGGTAAGCCTGAGTGTAGCTCAGGGTTACCACTTTTAACTTAGCTACACTCGGGAATACCGCCAGGGAGGTTAAGGAGGGGTGGTCTCCCTCCAGGCATACCTGCCCTCAATCTATCCATTATTATATATGTGCTCCAGTTTCGGAGACTCTCAAAAATGTATAGACGTAGAACTGCAGTACACTGAGATGCTGTGTAGGGGCCTTGTAGCTTATGCATATATTTGCAAATGTGTACAATATAAACCCCTGGATTTAATGTGAACTGTAAGACAGGACAATTTGGTTTGTTGTAGGCTGGCTGGTAAGTGAGCTGGGAATTGTTGTTTGTTGTTTTTTGACATGCGTTGCCCTTCCATGTGCTCTTTGTTGCAAAGGCCAGTTATAGGTTGGCATTTATTTGTCACAAGTTAGTAAATAAACCATATAACGTTTAATTCATGTATATGAAAAATACTGATTTTTTACAATTATTTTAGCAAATAGAAATGTGCTATAAAACAGGGTTGTATGCATTTAAAAAAATAGAAATTTATCCAATGAAAGAATATGTACGGTACAGGCATTCTGTGCAAAAAAGTAATGTCATTAGGTTATATCCTGTGCTAGCTGAATATTTTTTCATTAATTTAAAAGGGAAAATAAGGCATTGGTCAATAGATGATGCTATATCTCAGTTTCTTGCAATATTTCAGTTATACATAGCTCCTTCTCGTGGCCAAATGTGGCATTTTCCATAAACAAAAAAAAAAAAACAATCGACCGTCACAGGAAATAACATCTAACATTTGTTTTTTTTGCTTCTTTCATGCAGCACAAATGTAGATACACTTTCAATGGGCAAATTGCTTTGCAAGATTTTTTATACACCCCATAATAGTTCAAATATTTCACTGGTTTGGCTTACAGAGATTCATTTATTAAGGTAAATAGGCTGTTTACTTTGCAAAGGAATTTTCATTTAGCTTGATGAATGTGGTGAAAATTCACAAACGCATATCCAATGATATGCAAGCAAAAAAGAAAACAAAATACATTTTTGCTTGCACATAATTGGAAGCAGAGTTTCACCTCATTCTCTAGGCTAAGGGAAAATTCACTTTCAAAGTGAACATGAACTTGCAACGTGAACAGCCCATTTACCCTTACTAAATCAACCCCAGAGTGTATGTAAAGCTAAAATGTTTTATTTAGTTTTGGATGAATAAGGAATAGTGACCTCAGTCACTTTTTTATTGTGAAATAACATACTTTGCTATATGTCCTCCATTCTGAATATTCACATGACTTATCTCATTCCGGTGTATTGTGCTTGAGAGGTAGCTACCGTGCACTGTCTTGTAGTATTCTCCTCTGGCTTTTGAGGTTGAGCAAGACAACCAGACATTGTACTGATCAATCTGAAACCAGCTGGTAAGGGAGAAGAAAAGGCCATATGGTGCCTGCTTGTACTGACATTCTTCATCCTTATTTTCTCTTGCCCAGTTCACTATGGAGTTATTGATAATCATATCTGTTGATGAAACTTAAACATACCATACAAGCATACAAGATAGAGTCAGATCATATTAATATTGGATATTTGGAGTTCTGCCATGCATGTTTTTTTGTTCTTGATTTGCCATCTGTTTTTTTCATATCCTTCAGATGAGAAAGGATGGGCTGGTCCCCTGTCATGTCGACCGTTATAACTCCCAAAGTGATGGACATAATTTGGATTATTTACCAGACCTTTTCATATTTGCATGTGAAAATATAAATATCCTTGCAATGTGCCCCAGATGTTGTCTAATGTTGAGGTTTACATTTACTACAGGGGGCTCTGTGGCTGGGCTGGACCAAGTACATGTACGCGGTCCAGCTCTTCTGGGTATAGTGCATGCACCATGCTCCCTTCCCTATCTGTGCTGTGGTTCACTGCAGCACAAGTTTGGCAGCAGTTCCCGGCCAATGATTTTTTATTTTTTATTTTATTTTTTCTGTTGGGGAAAGGCGGGGGGCGTTGGTGAAATGTCACCCCTGATGTCTCACTTTGCAGATAATAAAAGGGATTGAGGACATAGATTCTTCCATCCCTTTCTCTGCAGCCTCAGTTGCACTGGACAGTGAATGAACAGAAAGCGCTCTGTATAGAGGCTTCACTTCATTCACAAACTGAAGCATAGTGAACACAGCTTTCTGATCAGTACTGATCACGCATTGTATTCATTCATAAAAGGAAGGGGCTGGTAAATATGACATATTTACTGGTCTTTTCTCTCACTCAGCATCTTGAAAAGATCCCCAACCTATGTGCCTGCAGCAGCTGGCAGGAGAGAAGAGAAAGGAAACCAGTACGGTGTTGATCAGGGGTCACACAGGGGGGCCCGGGCAGCAGAAGGAAGGGGATGGTACACAGAGAGGGAGATTGGTGTGGCTGGAGGCTATCACTGGAACTGATCCTGTGTGTGTCTCTCCCTACAGCATCTGAAAACTGGAGGGGAGGGAGAGGAGGGAAATCTAGGTTTCAGTTGATGCAGTGAGAGACACACAGGAAACTGGTTCCTGTCGCATCGATCACCCCCTCTCCTGTCCACATCCATTTACCTGCTTCAGGATGGTTCTGGCCCAGTACAGAGGGACTAATGCTACCCCTTTATCAGCGGCCCTGACTATACTAGCCACATTGTGGATGATTTTAATTCAATTTATCAATACAGTATTCATTTTAGGATACAGGAGTTTGTGTACCTTTAAAATCTCAGCAACGTTTAGAATTTATCTGTTGAAGTAACAGGGATAATGGTACAATCCATTTGTTGTGTAACAAAATAGCATATTTGATTTGGCCTTAGAGAAAGTCATTTGCCATCATCTAACAAAGTGCAGTAGATTATTGAGATCAAGCTACAGTGTTGGCTTTTTTTACACTTGATCTTGCCTGTGTATGGCAAGGCCACCAGGGACAAGATTGTGAACCTCTACAAGGGTGGAATGGGCTACAAGACCTTCAGTAAAAAGCTTGGTGAGAAGGAGACAACTATTGGAGTGATTATTCACAAATGGAAGAAATACAAAATAACTATCAATTATCCTCGGTCTGGAGCTCCATGCAAGGTTTCACCTCATGGGTTAAGGATAATCATGAAGAAAGTGTGGGATCAACCCAAAACTACACAGGAGGAATTTGTGAATGATCCCAAGGCAGTTGGGACCACAGTCACCAAACAAACCGATTGGCAACACAAAACGATGCCATGAATTGAAATCCTGCAGCACTTGCAAGGTCCCCCTCAAGAAGGCACATGTACAGGCCCATCTGAAGTTTGGCAATGAACAGCTAAATGACTCAGAGAAGGACTGGGAGAAAGTGCTGTGGTCAGATGAGACTAAAATTGAGCTCTTTGGCATTAACTTGACTCGCCATGCTTGGAGCAAGACAAATAACTATGACCCTAAAAACACCAGTCCTACAGTCAAGCACGGAGGTAGAAACATTATGCAATGGGGCTGTTTCTCTGCTAAAGGTACATGCTGGCTTTGTCTCCTTGAGGGGCCAATAGACAGGGTCATTGTTAGATAATGATATTGTGAAATCCCCATTAACAGATGTAAATAATATTATAATTAAAAGTATATTTTAATTAGATGGAAATATACAGTATTTTAACCATTGAGCGTTTTGCAGGAGCAAACTATTCCTAGCTTCCATACTGGTGTGAATGTATATAGTTTTCCACTACATAAGTTCTGGTCTTTTGTTTTCGCTTATCACATCTCGCATGAGTTGCAAACAGCAGCTCTTTGAATCCTCCAGTCAGGCTGTTCCCAATATACACTTAGTACTAGCTAGGTACAGTGACCAATTAGGGAGCATTATATTAGCCACAGCACAGAAAGGAGGGGGCGATATAATGCTTTGTCACCAAACTGTGGGTCTCTGTGTCGGGACACTCAGTAGCCAGCATGACCAGACCTGAAGTTGACAGGTAAACTAACTTCATAGTTTTAGTGTACATTGTATTGTAAATATGGTTTGTGGGTAATTTATAAATATCGTATAAGTCAAGGTACTTAAACTGTACATTGTGTTGTAAATACTGCTTAGCGTGTAATTTGTATATATTATGTAACTCTATCAATAAATGTAAATTTCAGATGGAACTACCTCTTTTGTGCATGGACTCTCAGATCTAGCTGTGTATATAAATACTCCTACAGGGATTAGGGTGTATTCACAAATACACATAACCTAAGTAAAACCATGTATTGTAAAATCTTGGATGAGAACCTTCTTCCCTCAGCCAGAAGACTGAAGATGGGTCGTGGATGGGTCTTGCAGCATGACAATAACCAAAAACATACAGCCAAGGTTACAAAGGAGTGGAGGAGTGGCTCAAGAAGCAGATTAAGGTCATGGAGAGGCATAGCCAGTCTTCAGACCTTAATCCTATAGAAAATGTATGGAGGGAGCTGAAACTTTGAGTTGCCAAGCAACAGCCAAGAAACCTTAAGGATTTAGAGAAGATCTGAAAAGGAGAGTGGACCAAAATCCCTCCTGAGATGTGTGCAAACCTGATAACCAACTATAAGAAACGTCTTACCTCTGTGCTTGCCAACGAGGGTTTCTCCAGCAAGTACTAAGCCATGGTTTTCTTGGGGAACAAATACTTATTTTACTCACTGAACTGCAACTCAAATTATTTGTAGCGTGTTTTTTCTGGATTTATGGTTGATATTATGTCTCTATCATTTCAAATACACCTATGATAAAAATTTTAGACCCTTCATTTCTTTGTAAGTGGGCAAACTTACAAAATCTGCAGGGGATCAAATAATTATTTTCCCCCACTGTATAATTATTTCATCTGAATAGCCATATCTTGGGAAATTCCTTATTTAACTAATATTCACACCCACTATTTGGTTTATGGTGGGTAATTTCCAATTTGCTCAACATTTTATCTATACTAAACCTCCAGAGGTCAATGAATCAAAAGAAACTTACAACATGACATACTTTGGTTGGCAACTGTGGTTTTCTTCATCATTTAGTC